ACATTAGATTGGAAATCTTCATTTTGTTGAACAAGAGTACCTTATTATTAATGTTTATTTATGCTCTGGCATTTCTCCTTCTGGTCCTTAGTTCATGCCCTTTTAAAAACCTAGTTGAATGTGTATTGCATTTACAATCTGATATCCTGTGGGGGTTTTTTTTTTTCCCATTGAATGTCATAATGAGCATTTTTTCTGGTTTTTAAGACACATACTTTAAAAATACATAATTTTAGCCTTCCATTACTTGTTTTCTTCCCCCAATTGTTTAACATTCTGGCTGCCTTAAATTATTTTAAATAATGCTGTGATGAACATCTTTACATGTACATATAAAATATATATATATATATATATATATATATATATCTTTATCCATATTCCAGCCTAGAGTAGATTACCAACAGCAAAACCATACATCAGAGTGTGATTACATTGAAGACTGTTGTTAAAGCCTTGCTGCTTTTCTTATTGAGCTGAGCAAGCCATTTAAGCCCCCTAACATGGGGGCACTTACCTTTGCATAAACCTGATGTAACCTCATTTTGGTTGGTAACTCAGGCACATTAGTTAGCTTGTCCTTAACACAACCCTTGGGGTGATTTTTACAGCTATCCATCCCATATCAAAAGCAAGTCAACCCACATCCCATTCTGTTTTGCTGTTACATCCTATATGCTTCAAGAAGTTGGGAAGTCAGATTTCCAAGCTTGTTAGGAGTTATCAGTATTGTCAGTCAATACTCGGTAAGACTCAGATGAGAGACCTCAGTAGAGAATGCAGAGTGCGGGTACTCTGACACCCATTCTGTGACTGGCTCAGGTTTCTGGGGGCTTTCTAGATATGCAGGGTGCTACTCAGGTCTAGGTGCATTTTGAAATGGTATAGGAATCTGACCCTGAAAAAAAGACACGTATTCACCTACTGCCCTCCAATGCTGACCCAATTTTTATGGAGTTTTTTCCCAAAATGATTTCCTATGTTTGATTCCTTTAGGACTGTAATCATTTTCTGTAAAACGTTTCCAACTACAAATGGGTATTCTAAATCATGACGTCATTTCCTTAAGGAGGCAAGATAACCACGTTTTTATATTCATTAACTAACATAAACAAAACCTATGTCAGCTTTAGTTAAGATCACTTTTCCAGGAGTATCCATTAGGAGTTCTTGTCAACAGATCAGCTTTGGCAGGTAAAAAGACAAATCATAAAGCAGCCAAAAAAAGGACTCTCAACCAATATTATGAAAGACATACTGGCCAACATTTTAAAGGAATAGGTTTCTAAGCTACTATTACAGTCTTATGCACTCTTTCAGCTTTACCTAAACTGTAATCAAAGGTAGAGCTGATATTTATGTGATATTTATAATGTCTGTAGTCATCATTTTAAAGTCACAGTAGTATAGAAGTGAAAATCTTGCCATTCGGTTTGTGGAGGTAATGGGAGAAAAATTGGTTCCCAGATGAAGCATAGCAAAGCAGATCTCGTGTGTGTGTGTGTGTGTGTGTGTGTGTGTGTGTGTGTGTGTGTGTAAGCTCTACATGCAGGGTTTGCAAACCAGCATTAACATAGTGGCATGTAGGGCTTTTCCATCGCATACACCATGACAGCATAGCCAGGTGTTCCTTTGCCCTTTCGTCTCTGTGGAGAGGAAATGTGTTTGCCCACCAGCACCTGTAAACTCTATTAAGTGCAGTGGGTTTTCCTGTATATTTGTATTTTAGGTTATTCTCCTCGCCCCCAACACCCTACGTCTTATCAGGGTCACGTTTCTCATTGTGACAGATCGTTGTACGATACAGATCTGAAATCAGACCATTTTGGAGGAGGGGGACAGGTATCACTTTTGTCATGGCAAACAGCACACTTGGAGATAACAATTTATACTTAGGCCTTGAATGTGTAAAATGACATAATGGAAAATACCTTGGGGGTAAGGATAAGCATTTCAACAGAAACGGAACACCTTTTGCAAACCGTTGTACAATTAGTCCATTGTTCTGTACTTAAAAAAAAAAAAAAAAAAAAACAACTTCCTGGCAGTGAAAAACAAGTATTTGAAAAGGTATAATGAAAAAGCATTTGTGCAGCTTAAGTTTGAGAAAGAAATGCCAAGAATTCAAAACTCTGTCAGGCTGCTTCACTTCCTTTTTCTTATTTACCTTTTTTTTTTTAACCTTTAATTTAGGGAAAAAAATAAGTTACTGTAGCAACATTAGCAAGTGGTCCTGCTACCTCAGTGCATTCTGTAGGTTATATAAAAGCTGGATGTCTTCCAGGACCACCTGACTTTTCCTGCCCAGGGTCGCCATCAGAACTGTCCCCTCTGATAGAGATGGGGGAGGGGTTTTGACTGCATGTAAAGTGTTCCCACACTCTGTGTAGGAGAGAAAAAATCCCAGCATGCATAGAATTAAGTTCTGAGCAGCAAGGTACCAGGAGTTGTTTAATATTGAGGAAAACTCCTTCCATTTTTTTTTTGGAGGAAGGTTCTTGATCCTGAATGGATGATGGAATATTTGAAGGGAGAAAAGGATAGAGAATGTTCTAACTGTGGAGTGAGAGGTGGGTCAAGCCTGGAGGCTTGGAATTTGTGATAAAGGGGGGATTGGCCGTGGGACTTGGGGGTACACAGGAGAGAGGCTATTCTGACCAGAAGAGTCAAGTCAGCAGTACAGTCAGGGTTTAGAGAGGAGGAACCAAGGAGGGCTTCGAAATCCAGACCGAGGTGTGTGAGTGGAGATGGTTCCAGTGGAACCACGAGAAGACTTCCTTACATGGCATCCAAGCCCTCCTTCAGCTCAGGACCTTGGTTCTTAGCAGGGGGAATAAAGGAAGTGAGATGGGAATATTAAGCCACGGAGCCTTTATTTTTAAAACCGAATAAATTTATGTCATTTTACAGTATTGTATTGGCCCTGAGTCTCAGAACATTCAGCTCTCTCCTTTGTGAGCACAGATAACTGTGGACTTGTCTCCTTATAGTGTCTAGAATTTCTGCGTCCTAAGAACAGGACATCAGACCAAGATTGTCTCAGCCATTTTGCCCCTGTTGGAAAGAGCTCTATCACATTCTCAGTGCAAACTGCTTCTTTCTTATTTCACCAGTAGCACAGATGAAATTAAGAGTACGTCCATCACAGGTGTACAGAGCAAAGATGTACTTGTAATCCGTCAATAGAAAAATGACACCATCTGTTGGTAATGCAGAAAATGACGCTGAAGATGTCATTGAGGGTCAGCTGTTAAATCCCGAATCACAAAGAGGTCTGACTCTCTGTTGCTAGGGTATAGAGAATGCTAATTATAAAGAAGTCACTGATACAAATAGAAAAATGAATATATAAATTCCTCTTATGGCCTTTCAGAGATTCATTTACAGACAGGTGAAATGTTTGTCTTTTTAAGTCTCAGAATGGGAGAAAGAAAAACAGACCAGAGATTGTGGCCCTATGCTGAAGGTGATAGCAGATGAAACAGTTTTTGTCATATACTGTGTGGTATAATTTATGGCGGTACAAATGCATTTCTCAACCTGGAAGGGGTTGGGGGCGGGTAGGGGTGGCAGAGGGTAAGAGAACACCTTGGTTCTTGCCATGATAATCTTAAAATCCAGTTTCCTATTAAACTGCAGTCTTCTTATGCCTCTTGTGTTGGCCCCTGGTTTTAGTATTCATGAGGCCCATATGTGCATTAAAAAATAAAATAAAGCAAAACACTGACCCAGCATCACAGAAAAACTCGCCCATCCCTTTGACAGGGTTTTCAGTTAATTTATGCAGGCCCCTTTGCACTTCAGCATTTTTCCCCACTGGTTGCTAGGCAACCATTTGAGTTACTGCGCATGCCTTTTTTATGATAAGTGTCATTATGATTATTTTTTAATTATATGACTAGGACTATAGATTAAAACAGCATATTGTCACTCATCCTCTGCCGCTGCTTCTAGCATTCTCACACACTCCTACAATCACCTTCCAAAATTTACCTGGCAGCGATTTATGGGGTTTGTTTTGTTTTGTTTTTAATAGTTCTGCCTTCACAAAGGAAGTAGAGATGGCATCATAAGGGACAGGAGATTTTTGTGAAAAATGACTGTACTGTATCTCCCGAGCTGTTATTGATCTGGATAGGCTGAGTCAGATATTAGGGTCCTGAACCTAAATTACGAATATCTGGTTCCTTTGACCATGTCTGCCTCTAACATTAAGTGATGTTAAATGCTTACATTGCTTTATAGTCTGTTTCTCAGAGTTACAAAATGCTAAGCGTTCGTTGCTACTAAATGTGCTTTCAAGTAAAGCTACCATGAATTTGCGGGGAGGGTATAGCACTGATCCCAGGAACATGAGGCAGCCACACTTGCTAAATATGTTTGTTCTTTTCAGCACAAATGACTCCACACACACAAAATGAAGTCAGGCAAGATGAAGGGGTTCCACTGGCAAATAATCATAAAGGTTTGTGTAGTTCACAGTGTGGAAAAATGCCCTAAGAGGAGTAAGACTGAAAAGATAGTCCCTGGTACATACGAAAGCTTTTCATTTGAGTTTCCAGAGTATATTCTAACACATTATTTTCTGAATATAAAGTGGATTTGAAAACAAAGGGATATGGAAATAAAGTCAGTATTTTTTTTTTTAACCAACTCAATTACTGCTCATTTAGAAATGGAATTTTTGGTGGAATGGGACACTTTAAATATTTGTATCAAACTGAAGAGAGGTTCACTCTGAAAGAGAAATCCACAGTGGCCTTCCCATATGTATGACAGAAGTGGAGATCTATTGGTATTCTAATGTCATTTTGAAGTTAGCACTGGGGGCATTGATCTCCCATACAGTTGTAGGATTTTCTTTGATTTGAAGAGCCCCATGTTTATATGCATGGGATGTCATTTGCTTTTTTGACATTTTTCTGAAATAAAATACAAGTTTTTCTCTGTAGTGCATGATCTGTTATGTTTTTGTTCGTTTCTCCCCTGCCCCCCTACAGTTCAGGGCGACAGCTCAGTGAAGTCTTCATTCAGTTACCTTCAAGAAAAGAATTACCAGAATACTATGAATTAATTAGGAAACCGGTGGATTTCAAAAAAATAAAGGTAGATCTTTTGTTTACGCACTTTATTTTTTAAGTAAATAAAGCAGAAGTGTAAATTCATTGAAATGATTACAGTTAGGGCTTGACAGTGGTAACCTATCTGACTGCCACTGACACCCATCCAGGGCTTGGCACTAAAAAGGTCGGGATGTTCTTGTGCCTTTAAATGTATGTTATGAAATCAATATACTGAGAGCTCGTATTGATTATATTGCCTTTTTTTTTTTTTGCGGTTCGTGGGCCTCTCACTGTTGTGGCCTCTCCCGTTGCGGAGCACAGGATCCGGACGCGCAGGCTCAGCGGCCGTGGCTCACGGGCCTAGCCGCTCTGTGGCACGTGGAATCCTCCCCTACCGGGGCACGAACCCGTGTCCCCTGCATCGGCAGGCGGACTCCCAACCACTGCGCCAGCAGGGATGCCCTATATTGCATTTTATTTGAAAAGTTTCAGACTCCTTCCTGGATCCCACTGCTCTTCCTGGTTCCCATCATATGCTCCTTACTCCCCCTTACAGGAAAGGAATACGCGTGGGAGGGTGGTCTCTGTTTATGACACCCCCTGGAGTTGTGTAGTCCCACCTCCCTGGCAGGACTGTCTACTGGGAAGACAAATGGAAAGTCAGGCTTTGTTAACCAAGTAATGATTGTTGTATTTCCACCACCGCCCTCCCCAACTTTCCTGTGTTTTATCCAAAATTTGCATCAGGAAAGAATCCGTAATCATAAGTACCGAAGCCTGGGTGACCTGGAGAAAGACGTCATGCTTCTCTGTCACAATGCTCAGACGTTCAACTTGGAGGGATCCCAGGTGAGACATGTTTAACCTTAAACATGCTTTGTTCTTTTAAGTAAAATTTTTCATTTGCTACCGTCGCTACTATCCTGGCAGAAGAAAAGGAAAGATAAAAGCCTATATTTCCATGCTACCTATGTAAGTCAGTTGAGGCTTTGGCATTTTCACATTAATGCCAGCTCCTTTGTACCATAGCTATGCTAGTTCCTACTTGTGCTTCCCTTAAAGGCTTGGCTTTTAATCAGAGGAGGAATTTAAGTTAATAACTTAATGTAATGCTTAAAAGCTAGAGGTAGTTTTTGCCTTTACAGAGATGGTGGTGTATTTGGTTATACTTACCTTGGGTTTTCTGATTGTAAGCTTTGCATCAGGAGCCGAAACTGCTGTTTTGTTTTAAAACAAAAAATATATAGAAAAAATAACCATCGCCTCTAATTTGTTACAAAAATGCTTTTTATCAGGTCAATTGCAATTCTCTTCACTCCTCTGTAGTTGGCAAGTGTAAGAGTAAGTGACACTATGAAAATAACTAAGCTGGCCGAGGACACTTTCACTTGAATTACACCTCAATTCCACTCACCTTTTGTAGGGACTCCCCTTTTCCTATCTATGCTCTCATACCCATGAGGCAGAAAGAACCAGAAGAGAGGTCAGTGTGTCTGCCAGCCAATGCAGAGTCAAGCCTCTTTCCGGACTGGACTTGTTTTTATCTTCATGTCAATTCCAGTCACTAAACTGGAGAATGTGGGACTCCTCAGAATGTGCCTTGAACAGACCAAACCTTTCCAGTTAATGGGAGTTAATAGAAGTATTATTTTGACCAAAACAATAGGTCGTGAAAGCAAAGCCTTTTTCAAAGAAATGTAAGGTGAAAACTAGGATGCAGAGAGTAAATATAAAGCGTCAACAAGCAAGTCTTTTATGAATGACCGCTTACAGTTTGTGGATAGATTTGGGGGTTCTTTATAGGACTGTGGCAACATTATGATTTACACCCCGTCCCAGACAGCCTCCCTGTCTGCCGACACCCACTGCCTCACCCCTGAACTGGGGTGACAAATGACCTCTTGACTGGCTTCCCTCCGAGGCCCTCCCGGATGCAGGCCGATCTTTCTGTAACCACCTTTTTATCCTGTCCATCTACTGCCCACCAAGCTTCGAGCTTCCCCATGTACTGTTAAATTCTAGAATGAATTTAATCGCTGTAGTTCGCTTTCTAAAGTCATAGACTAACTCTTTGGCCTCATTTCCTGCTGTTCCTCAACCTAAACAGTTCGTGGTCCAGTAACGGTTCATGGTCCATAAACACCGGCTTCCCCAGATACACATGCAGTTGTAGGAAAGAATATGAATACAGAGAGAGCCTTGACATCGTCCCAGGATAGTAACATCGTCCCATGTCATAACCAGGAAATTGGCAATGGCACCATCCCAGATGCATCTTTTTTACTTTGGCCTCCCCACTTTTCTCCTTGCTCTCCTTTTCTAAAAAGGCCGTCTCCTTTCTCATGATCCCTGGTGGGACCCTCCTCACCCTTAATATCCAGCTCAGCTCTAGTGTCCCTGGCAAATTCTGCCCCAGTGGCCCCATCCCAGTGTGTCATCTTCACCATTTTTAAGTGTACAGCTCAGTAGTGTGGAGTATATTTTCATTATTCTGCAACAGATCTCCAGAACACTTTCACCTTGTACAACTAAAACTCTGTAATCATTCTGCCAGACACCATTCTACGTTCTATTTCTACGAATTTGACTCCTCTAGATATAGCTCATATAAGCAGATCAGCACTCAGTGTTTGTCTTTTTGTGAATGGCTTATTTCACCTAGCATCAAGTCCTCAAAAGTTCATCCATGTTGTGTAGGCTGCAACAGGATTTCTTTCCTTTTTAAGGCTGAATAATACTCCACGGTTTGGGTAGAACTCGTTTTGTTTCTTCCTCCCTCTGTCGATGGACATTGGGTGTGCTTCTCCCTCTTGGCTCCTGTGAATAGTGCTGCTGTAAACATGGGCGTGCATGTATCTCTTCAAGACCCTGCTTTCAGTTCCTTTGGGTATATATCTAGAATCGGCATTGCTGGATCATATGGTACTTCTATTTTTAGTTTTTTGAGAAAACGGACCATTTTTGAACTTTCTCTCTCTCTCAGCAACTACCCAGGGCTATGCTCAGATAGGTGCATCCACTAGCGAGAAAGCACTGATTGCAATAAGTATTGGCTGGTACTGATAAACTCAGTAACAAATAATAGCCTCCATTTTGTTAGGAGAATTGCATTTTTTAAAAAAGGTTGCTTTACCACAGTGTTTGATGGAACAACTTAAATAAGAAATCGTTTTTTTAAATACAAATGGGAGGGCATCGTATTGAAGCCCTCCCTTCCCTCCCAAGCATGCGCACACACACAACACACACGCGCGCACACACACACTCTCTGAAATCATTTCAACTGCATGTGGACTTTTCCTGTAAGATGATGTCTGTAGATTTGAGTTTGGTGTTTTCCTGCAGGCATAGACAATAACGTTGATGTTTCTGCTAAAATTCATGTAAAATAATGCTGGTGTGTGGCACACGGAAGAAAAGAGCATGTGCTGCGATGGTGAGTCTCGGGCCCTCAGCTTCAGGTTTTTAACAGGTGCCACTTTGACCCTTCAGATCTACGAAGACTCCATCGTCTTACAGTCGGTGTTCAAGAGTGCTCGGCAGAAAATTGCCAAAGAAGAAGAGAGTGAGGACGAGAGCAACGAAGACGAGGACGAGGAAGAGGAAGACGAGTCAGAGTCAGAGGGTGAGTCCATGTGGTTTCTGCACTGGTTTGGCCCTGGCCACCTGCATCGCTGTTTCCACAGATGCCAAGAGAGCAGACATTGGAGTCAGGCACATCTGGACTCCAGGTCTTGTGGTCTCTCGTGTCCTTAGCTGGGCAACCCCAGGCCGTATACTTAACCCTGCTTGAGCCCAGTCTCCTCCTCTGTGAAACGGAAGTACTAAATGTGTCCCCAGTCATGCGAAGGGCTTAGCACGTGGCCAGGCTCACAGCAAACACGGAATGTTGCCTTTGGAAATCAGTGTAGTATACGTTTTCTACCAGCATGGCTGTTGATACCACCTATCTGTTAACCTAGCAGAGTGGTTCTCTAACCTGGGTGATTGCTGGCGTCCACCCCTGAGTTTCTGATTCAGTAGCCTGCGGAAGGGTCTGAGAGTCGGCCTTTCTAACAGGTTCACAGGGGACGCTGATGTGACTGGACCCAGGACCACACTTTGAGAATCACTGCTTTAGAAGATAATTGTCAAACTGTGGTCCATTTTGTCCATCATGGATCAGATACTGATCCTGTCTTTATCTTGATATTTTACTCATTATGGCTCTGTTTGGCATGAGTTGTGAGTTTTTAAAACATCGCACTGAATAGTATTTATCTCGATTACCGAGTTTTGGTGCCCTCTTAAACTTTGCACCCAAGGCAAGTATCATATTTCAGAGGTTATGGCTGCCTTGAAAAGTCTAAAATTTCTTCTTACCTAATGAAGTTTTCACCCCATACCTCCTCGCAAAGTAATAAATCCTAGTAGTTTGTAGTCTTCTATGTAAAACAGTTTAGATATGCTTTACCATTTTTATTAGATTTGTTTCTAATTACATACTTAGTACAGACAGCTTAGAAAATATTTTTAAGAAAGGAAAATTTGTATAATTCCATCACCCAATATACCTTTAAGTCCAGTTGCCTTCCAGTGTTTTTATATACATAAATATTTTGTTCATAAAAGTATAGTACAGCAATACATATATTAACATCCATTAATGAGTGTACCAAAACATAGTAATCTCAATCCAAATAATGCTCTCCTGAAAATTCTAACCCATAAACGACTGCACACACTGTGAAAACATCTGATGCATACATATTGCTGCACAGAATGGAGTTGATATCTTTGTCAGCGGTGTACGTACATGTCTGTTTCCCCATACCCTCATCTGTTCTCAGTATTATTCTTTTTAGTGATTCTGCCTTTTAAGTATTAATTTAACCTTTTTCAGTTTCATATGTTTACTCCCTAGTTTTAATATCCTAGCATTTGATGTTTTAGTCTACAAAAGCGTATCTTAGCTAAACGTTTCCTTGTTTTAGAGCGAGATTTCTAATCTGTTTTCAAATAGCTACCTTCTTATCCCAGCTATCAGTTGAGATACGTTTGCTCTAATCTCTCCGGAGACTTGGTATGTTAACTTTCTATGGCCGCTCTAACAAATTACCACAAACTTAGTGCCTCAATACAACTTACATTTATTATCTCACAGCCCTGTAGGTCACGGGTTTGCTGTGGGTCTCTCTGGGCCAAAACCAAGGTGTCACCAGCCTGCCTTCCTTTGTCGGGGCTCCAGGGGAGAATCCACTTCCTTGTGTCTCTTTCTCATGTTGCATCTCATTGACCCTCTCTTTGGCCTCCTCTTCATCCACATTTATTTTTGCTGTTGAGGTATAATTGACATATGATAATAGGTTCAGATACACAGCATAATGATACGATATATGTCTATATTGGGAAATGACCACACCTAAAGCTAGTTAACATCCATCACCACACATAGAAAAACATTTTTTCCTGTGACGGGAACTTTGAAGATCTACTCTCTTGGCAACTTTCAAATATGCACTACAGTGTTATTAATTATACTCACCATGCTGTACCTTAAACCCCACGACTTACTTATTTTATAACTGGATATTTATACCTTTGGATTCCCTGCACCCATTTCCCACCCCACCTCTGGCAGCCACCCTATCTATCTGTTCTCTGTATCTGGTGAGTTCAGTTGTTTTCTTCTTTTTTTTTTTTTTAATTTCACATATAAGCGAGATCATACAGAATCTGTCTTTCACTGACTTATTTCACTTGGCATAAAAGCCCTTACGGTCCATCCATGTTGTCGCAAATGTCCTTTTTTTAATTTTTAAAAATGTTTATTTTGTATTGGAGTATAGTCGATTTATGAGGCACACTTTTTTTGTTTGTTTGTTTCCTGGCACGCGGGCCTCTCACTGCTGCGGCCTCTCCCGTCGCGGAGCACAGGCTCCGGACGCGCAGGCTCAGCGGCCATGGATCACGGGCCCAGCCGCTCCGCGGCATGTGGGATCCTCCCGGACCGGGGCCCGAACCCGCGTCCCCTGCATCGGCAGGCGGACTCTCAACCACTGCGCCACCAGGGAAGCCCAAGTGTAGTCAATTTACAATGTTGTGTTCGTTTCATGCGTAAAGTGAAGTGACTCAGTTATACGTGTATCCATTCTTTTACAGATTCTTTTCCCATATAGGTTATTACAGAATACTGAGTAGAGCTTCCTGTGCTGTACAGTAGGTCCTTGTTGATTATCTATTTTATATACAGTAGTGTGTATGTGTTAATCCCAACCTCCTAATTTCCCCCCCACTGCCCCCCCCCCCCGGCCCTGCCACTTTTCTTCTTTGGTATCCGTAAGTTTGTCTTCTAAGTCTGTGGGTCTGTTTCTGTTTTGTAAATAAGCTCATTTGTATCACTTTTTTAGATTCCACATATAAGCAACGTCATGATATTTGTCTTTGTCTGACTTACTTCACTTAGTATGATAATCTCTAGGTCCATCCATGTCACTGCAAATGGCATTATTGTGTTCTTTTTATGGCTGAGTAGTATTCCATTGTGTATATGTACCCCATCTTCTTTATCCATTCCTCTGTGGATGGACACTTAGGTTGCTTCCATGTCCTGGCTACTGTAAATAGTGCTGCAGTGAACATCGGGGTGCATGTGTATTTTCAGATAATTATGGTTTTCTCCAGGAAAATGTGCCCAGGAGTGGGATTGCTGGATCATATGTCAATCCCAGTCTCCCAGTTTATCCCTCCACCCCCTTTCCCCGCTGGTAACCATAAGTTTGTTTTCTACATCTGTGACTCTATTTCTGGTTTGTAAATAAGTTCATATGTACCATTTTACTGAGATGATCATTATACGTTTTAGCCTTCATTCTGTTAATGTGTTGTATCATATTGATTGATATATTGATGTTGAACCAACTTGCATCCCTGGAAGAAATCCCACTTAATTATGGTATATGATTCTTTTAATGTATTGTTGAATTCAGTTTGCTAATATTTTGTTGGGGATTTTGGCATCTACGTTCATCAGGGATATTGGCCTATAATTTTCTTCGCTTGCAGTCTTCTTGTCTGGTTTTGGTACCAGCATAATGCTAGCCTTGTAAAATGAGTTTGGAAGTGTCCCCTCCTCTTCTGTTTTTTTTGTTTGTTTGTTTTTGGGGTTTTTTTGGCAAAAATTTGAAAAGGATAGGTATTCATTCTAATTCTTCTTTAAATGTTTGGCAGAATTCACCAGTGATGCCATCTGGTATTGGACTTTTGTCTAATGGGAGGCTTTTGACTGTGGACTCAATTCCCTTACTAGTAATTGGTCTTTTTCTGTTTTCTTTGTGATGCAGTCCTGGTAGGTTGTTTGGTTCTACAAATTTGTTTTTTTCTAGGTTGTATGATTTGTTGGCACATAATCGTTCATAGTAGTCTTTCGTGATTCTTTGCATTTCTCTGATAACAGTTGTAACATCCCCTCGATCATTAGTGATTTTATTTGAGTCCTCTCTTTTCTTCTTAGTGAGTGTAGCTAAAGATTTGTCCATTTTTTTTTAATCTTGTCAAAGAACCGGCCCTTAGTTTCATTGATCTTTTCTATTGTCTTTTTACTCTCTATTTTGTTGTTGTTGTTGCTTGTTTGTTTCCAGTTTGCTCTTTTCTGTTTCCTTCCATCAACTAAGTTTGGACTTCATTTGTTCTTCTTTTTGTAGTTCCTTGAAGTATTAAGTTAGGGTGTTTTATTTGAGATTTTTGTTTCCTGGTGTAGGCATTTATCACTGAACTTCCCTTCTAGGGTTACTTTTCTGCATCCTGTAAATTTTGGCATGTTTGATTTCCATTTTCATTTGTCTGAAGGTATCTTTTAATTTACTGTTTTGGTTTCCTTGTTGAGCCATTGGTGGTTCAGTAGCACATTGTTTAATCTCCCCATAAGTGTGAATTTTCCAGTTTTCCTCCTGTAATTGATTGGTTTCATGTCATTATGGTTGAGAAGGCTTATTGATATTTCAATCTGCTTAAATTTATTAAGCCTTGTTTTGAGGCCTCACATATGATCTATCCTGGAGAATGTTTCATGTGCACTTGAGAAGAATGTGTATTCTGTTGCTTTTGAATGGAACGTTCCATATATAACTGTGAAGTTCCTCTGGTCTAGTGTGTCATTTAAGGCCAGTGTTTTCATACTGATTTTCTGTCTAGATGATCTGTCCATTAATGAAAGAAAGGGATTAAAGTCCCCTAATATTGTTGTATTGCTATTTCTCCCTCCATGTCTGTTAATAAATGTTATGTCCTCCTTTTGTATTGACCCTTTGCTATTATGTAATGCCCTTCTTTGTCTCTTATTACAGTCTTTAAAGTCTCTTTTGTCTGATGCAAGTAGAGCTGCCCCAGCTTTCTTTTGGTTTCTGTTTGCATGGACTGCCTTTTCCATCTGCTCGGTTGCAGTGTGTGTCTTTAAAGCTGAAATGAGTCTTTTTTTGTGGTACACAGGCCTCTCACTGCCGTGACCTCTCCCATTGCGGAGCACAGGCTCTGGACGCGCAGGCTCAGCGGCATGGCTCATGAAATGAGTCTTTTTTTGTGGTACACAGGCCTCTCACTGCCGTGACCTCTCCCATTGCGGAGCACAGGCTCTGGACGCGCAGGCTC